TTAACATATTTTCGCACTTAAATAAATTGACGTTTACCCCCACATCTCCTTTTATTCTTTTGATAAGCAATTGATAAAACTATATTAATCGGGATAATTTGGATTTTTGACATAAACTACTTAATCGAGTTTAGAAATGAAAAAAAAGTAAAATTCCACACACGATGACGTATTTATAGCTTGAGTTAATCTTACTGTCAAGACAAGACGCGATGGAAGCTGACCAGTATGAAGAGGTATATTTTCAATTTACAATTTACTTACAATATATATATTTCAGCTTAATATTTTGATATTGAAATTTAGCTTTTGTCTTGAAACTTTATACGTTTTACTTTTGATTTTCTTGAAAACACGTGAAACTTTCATCAAAGTGGTATAATAGCTAATTCTATATCAAAATGTCTTTGCATCTGTATTTAACAAAAATCACAGCTTAATGTGTTACGGCACCAGTCATCTTTTTGTTTAAGGGTCGGGTAGGGGCAGTGAAGTCATGGATTTGAAATAATGTTCTATTCTTATGAAAAAAAACTATAGTTTATTTCTATTGAAAATTACAGCATTTTGGTTATTTTGTTTAAAATAAAATATTCATGTATGTTACAGAAAATGATTTTTTTCCTGAGAATACTCTTTCTTTCTTATTGTTATATCATATAGAGAAACTTAATACCGGTAGGTATAAATCAAATCAGCATTTAACTTCTTCCAAGGTCAAAATATCAAATTGCGAGGAAAAAATGAAACTAGTGATTTTTTTAAAGTACATTTTTCAAGATATCAAAGTCATAACTATAAAATATTAATAATAATAGTCAAAATTTCAATAGTTCAATTATGTTAATATTAATAGGCGCTAAAGTTTGTATCCCCGATGGATATTGATTATTAGTTATCCATAAGCGTCTGTATAGTGAAATCTAACCTGCAAATGTGTATATATAAAATGTTAAAAACGATCTATCCCGACAAGAAAGACTATTATTGTAGGTATTTAAAGATAGTTTTCATTCAGTGTTTTATAAGTTTAAAGGTTATGAAAACAAAACAATTAATTGTGTACAATTGACTGAACAAATGAAATTAAAATTTCTCGATTGTGAAGTTGAAATATTGATCAGTGTATAAAAGAATGGAATTTCTCGTTCAATGTTCGCCATTGACATTAATGAGATTCGAGGTTTCAACTCAAAATAAAAAATAGAAAGAGAAGAGCATACATATAAATATTGTATAAAAATAAGGAGATGAGATATGATCCACCAAAGTTCAAATAAAGTGGGAGGGGCCTCGGTGGCCAAGTGGTTTAAGTAGTTACTACTGTAATCACTAGCCAGTCAACACTTGAGGTTGTGAGTTCGAACCACGCTCGTGCGGGTGCACTCGACTCCAATCTTAATTGACTAGGATTGTCAGTTTTCCTATCGAAGGTCGGTGGTTTTCTCCGGGCACTCCGGCTTCCTCCACCAATAAAAACTGGCCGCCACGAATTAGCCCAAAAGCGGTGCTTAAAAGTGGCGTTAAAACACCAAAAATCAAATCAAATCAATCAAATAAAGTGGATGTAATAAAGCAATTCTAGGCAACCGTACGGCCTTCAACAATGAGAAAAATGTTTGTTTTTAACTGTTTACGGATTTGAGCAGTTTTTTGCAAACTTAAATTCAGACTGCGAATACATTTGCGTCTTCACAGATGCCAAGAGAAAAATTTTCTGATGGCACATATTTTCTTTCATTTTGAAAACTATAGATACATGTTTGTCTTCAGACATTAGTCTTCTTGTGTTACCGGAAACCGGAATGAATAAAATAATGAATAATTGCATCTCCTTATTTTTATATGTTATTGGTTTATTCTTCTGGGTGTAGCTTTTAAGGTGGTACCAAACATCTTGACTAAAATTTATTTGGCTCGTTTAATTTTCATAAAATTTTGACAAAATATTTACTTGTACCCTTTGACAAAAACATAAAAATTTCAAAAAACTTGAACCACACACTTTCTCAGAAAAATTTCATTGGATATATAGCAGTTTGATAAACACTAATTTTGATCATTAAGAAGCTTGATATTTCCTTTACAACAGAACCTGATTAAAACATTCAGCTGATTTTTACAGAGTTATCTCCCTGTAGTGTTATGTACCACATTAAAGATTGAGTGTATACATGCCTGATTTCGAAACTAAAGGACAGTTAGATTCTTACATTCAACCCGCCTCTGTGCTCTCGTAGTAGCGCTGTAGTGTTGAGTGCGAGAGGTAGTGGGTTTGCTGCCTCTCCAATCAATCAAACACATGTTAGTTCGGAGTCATGATAGTAAGTGCCTTGGTAGGTGACATGTCCTACTGCAAACCCTAACCTTGCGAACAAGAACGTTAAAATCAATCCGGTCCAGCATGTCAGTGTCAGTCTAGTCCAAAGCAATCACATCAACATATTCTCGTCTTTATAAGCATGTTATAATGCAACATCGACCCATAACCAGCAATCTTTCGATCAGTCAACGTCAAATAAATGAGTAAATATTAAGTAATTTTGATTAATTATTCTGCGACCACGTATACATATATAATTCTACTGTTATAATTATACTTTGGTATTGAAATCAATTAATAGAGCTTATTCTGTCTATAAATTTAACATTTACGGTTTTAAAATAATGACAACTTACTATTAGTTAGACACTGAAATTTGTCAATGAAACTAATTTGTGATGTTTACCTTCAATGATTAAGGTGTCCAAAGGTTAGAAAAGCAAACAGTTATCGATTTATCATTGCAATCAGGACAATTTAAACAGTGCTGTTTACAAACTACTTAAATTTCATAAACCATTTAAATTTCAATAAGGATGTTCTGTTAGAAATTGATTTTTCACATCATCTTGAATTTCAAATTTGACTTTATACATTTAAGCAGCCCCGTTGCCAATAATAAGGTTGCTATTAATTTTCATTGATCTGCATATGCAAATTTCCTTCCACTGCATATGCAAATTTCTGTTCATTGTATATGCAAATAACGTTGAAAGTAAATTATCTGGTTGATGTTTACATCACTGGGTTGTACTCTTATACACTAGTTCTTATCATCAGCTTGGGTGGGGGCCTCCGTGGCATAGTGGTCTAAGTAGTCGAACTGCTGTATCACTAGCCAGTCAAGTTAGGTTGCGAGTTCGAATCCCGCACGGGGCAGGTGCACTCGACTCCGGTCTTAATTAACTAGGATTGTCAGTTTCACCGAAAGTCGGTGGTTCTCTCCGGGCACTCCAGCTTCCTCCAATAAAAACTGACCGCCACAAAAAAGCACAGTAGTGTTGAAAGTTGCGTTAAACACCAATCAAGTTTTAATCAATCAATCAGCTTGGGTGAGTTTTCTATACCATCCGTTTATAATTGATTGAACATTATTTTAGGGATCCACGTTAAAAGAAAATATATGAAAAAAATCAGACATTTCACTTCAAATAAATTTCTAGTACATATGAATAAAATTGAGGATGGAAACGGGGAATGCGTCAAAGAGATAACAACCCGACCAAAGAGCAGAAAACAGCCCACGACCACCAATGGGTCTTCAACACAGCGAAAAAATCCCACAACCGGAGGCGTGCTTCAGCTGGCCCCTAAACAATAATGTATACTAGTTCATAGAAAATGGACGTCACACTAAACTCCGAAACATATAAATGAACCAAAATTAAAAAAACATTCAAGACTAACAAAGGCCAGAGGTTCCTGAACAGGCGCAAAGATGCGACGAGGTTAAACATGTTTTGTGAGATCTCTATAAATGGATATGCGGATAAACGTCAATTAGACAGCAACCCTATCAAACTGACCAAAATATTAGAAAATAACAAAAGACCACCACTTACGAGGTACTGACTTGTGATGTAAGAATGTACACTTAATAAAAATGAGTACAGAAAAGGTTCTAAACCCAACACAACCGATACAACAGGTAACTAATGAAAAGAAGAAAACAAAAACGAGTACAGCGAAATAATAAGAAACGTCGTATCATGAGCTTAAAGTAATTAAACATTTTTTCAGTTGATTTGAAATAATACGTCATTTTTTATAACGCGATACTGTTTTGTCGACTGTTAATTGATTCTTGTTTTTAATTTTGATTATGGGACCAGAATGCATTTGGTAGTCTTTCTAGAATATATTATCTAAATTGTGTATAAAATTATATGCCTCAATAAAAAAAAGTATTAATGCAAAAGTAATCGTACTTCAATGCTAATCAATTTTACATGTATGTGGTGATCTTAATATAAAAAATGCATTTACACTATTTAATCACATGTCATAACAAATATATAATATCAGTTGCTAACATCAGAGACGGGACACTATTTTACAAATTCATCATAAATTCAATAGCCAAAATCTGTTTATATATTTCTTTTTGTCAGAAATTAAATAACGTCGTTTAGTATGAAAGACCCCTATTATGAAAAACCTTTCTCCGTGGTTATATATTAAGTTTTCACAACTTCAATGGTGTAGGATATAGTGATTGCGCATATTGTTTAGGATTGCATTCAAACGGGAAAGATTTGTCTAAAGAGTAAATAAAATAGTGAAAGAGATCCTTTATTTTGAATAAATATTCATAAACAGGGGCTCGGTAAGGAGATTTTGAAAGAAAAACATAGTTTTTTCTTTTCTTTTGATATACTCAAAATGTAACAATACTGGATACAATTGTATTCGCAAAATAATGTTTTTTCTATAAACTAGCAGGAAAAGCAATTTATATATATATATAATGTGGAAGTGATTGATATTTTATTTCATGTTTAAATAAATAATTACTTTAATCAAAATTATAAAATATGGTCCGGGTACAGAGATGAAAATCGCTTTATCATTAATTCATTTACACTTAACTGAAAGTAAAAGTTTGTTATTCGAATCGAGTATGAAAACAATAGGCGTTTTAAATTTTTCAATATGTCAAATAGCATTTAGAATACTATCACTTCACAAAAGTCAATAACAGGATCAAATTAGAAGATTACCCTCGAAGAACCTTCATTCATAGATGCATGCTTAAATTTTAACAAATTGAAAATATATAAAGGAAAAGGTGATCCGTCTCAAGAAAAGTGGAACAAGTACGGTTATAGACGCGAGATAGTATTTCCGTAAAAGAAGAGAAAATGGATTCGGAGTCTGGGAAACGTAAAACACGTCCAAAAATGTGGTGAAAGTCTATAGGACTTTATTATCAGTAATAGTGACAGACTATAATGATCTCAACTTTATCACCAATAAACCGTCGTATCATCAGGATTTATTAATATTGCCTTAATAGAAGAAGATTAACTTTAGATCTCAAAAGTTATTAAAAGCAATACGTTGATTTGATGTAAATTAATCTGTTGTTGATTGGGAATTAACACCAAGGATGCACATGATTGAAATTCTTATTCAATAATGATCAAATGGAATATTATATGGAAGTATAAATACCGTTACGAAATTTACATTCTTTGAATCAATGTAATAAATCTTTATAAGTTAGTTTTATGTTTCTCCTTGAAAGAAACACGAATAGAAAGATTGCAGAATGGACTATTCATTTCAAATTGACATGGGAGATAGAAAGAAAAGTCATGTAAGTTTTCTTTTTTTTTAACCAAACTTGTTTTTATTTTACTTTGATATTTGAATTAAACCTGTATAATTAATCACCGGAACATTGAAGTGCAAAATACATGTCACTAAAGGGCATCTCAAATTAACATGTACATGTCACTAAAGGGCATCTCAAATTAACATGTACATGTCACTAAAGGGCATCTCAAATTAACATGTACATGTCACTAAAGGGCATCTCAAATTACATGTACATGTCACTAAAGGGCATCTCAAATTAACATGTACATGTCACTTAAGGGCATCTCAAATTACATGTACATGTCACTAAAGGGCATCTCAAATTAACATGTACATGTCACTAAAGGGCATCTCAAATTAACATGTACATGTCACTAAAGGGCATCTCAAATTACATGTACATGTACATGTCACTAAAGGGCATCTCAAATTAACATGTACATGTCACTAAAGGGCATCTCAAATTAACATGTACATGTCACTAAAGGGCATCTCAAATTAACATGTACATGTCACTAAAGGGCATCTCAAATTAACAGAAAGTCATCTATACCTTCAACTATAACGATCTTGACAAGAGTTTAACTTTAGTTTACTTTTTATTCGGTTGCTGTCTGATTGACGATAATTCCAAATCTTGCCTTATTTTTATACAGCCCAATAAGTAATCATATACTATCAGTGGAGGGTACAGGTTTTTCCAAACTTGAACGGGCGCAACGAAAAATAAGGGGAGGGGTGGGGCGCCGCTTGTCAAAAATGAAAATAACAAATTAAAAAACATATTTTCTGTCCTAATGAGGTTCTGGAACTTCTCGCCTAACCCTTGGTCCGCTCCCTGGCTATGTGCATGCAGGCTGATATAATTTAATGTTCAAACATTAATTCAAATCAACACGAGTTAGAGATTCAGAAAAAGAACTATATGTAGTTCAGTGGTTGTCGTTGGATCATGTCTGTCATATTTGTTTTTCGTTAACTGTTTTGTTATAAGTTAGGCCGTTAGTTTTCTCAATTGAATTGTTTTATATTTTTCATGTCGGGGTCTTTTATAGCCGACTATACGGTATGGGTTTTTCTCATTGTTGAAAGCCATTCGGTTGCCTATAAATGTTTACATCCACTTTATTTGAACTTTGGTGGATAGTTGTCTCATTGGCAATCATACCTCATCTGTTTTTTTTTATATATCCATGTACACATGATTCTTTACTCTATAACCGTGTGACACAGACTTCAGTGCAGAAAACTGGTCTTTGATGGTTTTTTTTTTCATTTTCAAAGGCTTATTTTGTTCTGATAATCAAGGTTACACTTTCTTTATATGAGGTCTTGTTTAATACAATACATTTAGTATTTTTTGTGGAAGTACTAGATGTACCATTCTTTTGTCTCATCTAACTTAAGGGGCATTAGTTCAAAATCCTGAAAATTAGACAAAATAATGGTCTTTCCAATTTATAATAATAATAACTTGATTTCATGTTTGCACCATATTTCACCCATATAGGTCATGCAAAAAGGCAAAACACAGTTCAATAAAACTATATAATTAAATAAAGAAGTGAGGCAAAATAAACTGTAATTCATCTCGCTCGCTCTCCTTCAACGAAAATGAAGTATCTCATTATGGTATATTGTAGATGTGAGTAATTTGAAAATTTGTTCTAGTGTAGGTCAATTTCAAAAATTGTTTACCAAATTAGTTTCACGAAATACTTTGTAATGAAATGTCAATTTCTGTTTGACAGTCTATTGACCTATCGTTGATCTCCAAATTACAAATTGTAAATCATTCGTGTTGTCCCAACGTCTCACATGACAATAAATAGACAAGCCTGTATCAATAGATGTATTGAAAACAACTGATAATAGAAGAAACTATTTACCTTGGAGGAAAGGACTGTATTTATGAGTATTCTAATAAAATTGGTGTTTTCACATTCATTACTTGAGAATGACCAGGTTGACTTTGGTATTTTCTATGTTCTAAACTGTTATTCAAATGAAAAAATTGACAGTCCACATTTGTGGATCCAGAAAAGGATCGGTATTCCTGAATTTTAAATCGATGAACGTTAGACTTGAAGGTCTCTTTCAATGATGGAATCCCCTAAAACCCCTTTTTCTAGATGCAGATTCCGGTCCTGTGGCAACTTTTTCCTGCAAATTTATCACACTATCTCAATTTACAGGGATCGATCCAAGACTCGTTGGACAGGGTAAAATTAAAGTAGAAATATGATAAGGCAACTTTTTTTGGCCTTTGAATTTGAAAATCATAACGTATAATATACATGTATCTATCAAATAAAACTTTCATGTTTCGACAAAACTCAAGTCTTTTGTATATCAATAATAATAATCACGTCTTATATATTTTTCATTGGGATTTAAGCTTCTTGTATTGAACAATTTTTATTTGGTGCGAGGACACATTTATCGTTCTTTGATTTTCGTTGTCCTTAGTGTGGACAGTGTATAACTTGCATTTGTTCATACACCTTCCAATTTTATTTCTTTGTATAGTATGCATAAAATAGTAAGCAGGAAAATTGGGGTCATACATTTTTAGGTAATGTAGTGATTTGGTCCAGTTGAAAAAGGTCAGAAGATTAGTCTGTCTGAAGCAGTCAAACTTATTATAGACACCGTTAACATAAAATTGTCCATAGTTTTAGTTAGATCTGATAACACTTTCTACAGTTTTGACCGTGCGAGGGCTGTATAGCCAGTCAAGGTCGTTAAAAACTCTCATCATCAGTTTTGATATAATTTGTCTCAAAAGCAGTACTCTACACTATAAATATCTTATTGAGATAGAGAAGTTACGATTGTTTTAATTTACATATATTGTCTAAAAGAAATGCACTACGAAATGACTGTGTTCTCGGGCCAATAACCTTAAGATTTTAACTATTTGTTAATTTCAAGGACCAAATAATGATGATTGTCCTCCTCCTTTAGCCTATAAGAGAAACCATCCCATGACCGGGATGAGAGGGGGTTGTTAGGGTCATGACGCTCTAACCATCTCATGACCGGGATGAGAGGGGGTTGTTAGGGTCATGACGCTCTAACCATCCCATGACCGGGATGAGAGGGGGTTGTTAGGGTCATGTCGCTCTAACCATCCTATGACCGGGATGAGAGGAGGTTGTTATAGGGTCATGACGCTCTAACTTTAATAGGCAAAGTTTAATCTGAATATCGACTAAAATAATCTTAATTAGTATTTGATTGTTGTCAGGGGGCATCTGAACCACACGACCCCACCCCTGTCTACAGGTGGACCATTTGTAGAGTGTTTGTTCAAGTTAAAGAACCAACTGTATATCAAATTGTATATCTTGGTTTGCCATGCATTCTGCGCACATTAATTTCCCTTTCCTCATAAAAAAACTTTGACGTGTGAGTTAAATTACTTCCAAGCCAGTACATACGATTGTTAACTATAAGTCGTTACATAACATGTTATATCAAAAATGAATGATGCCAATTATTTAAAATCCATAAACACCTAGTTTGCCATTGATTAAATTGATAGTCATTGTAATGGAACCCTTTCTTTAATTGTCACGTATTACACAAACAAAACAAGAACGATTTTATGGTTTAAAAACCAAAACATATAATTTAATGTTTTCTGGTTGTATTTCATTGAGCTGCACGTTTAACTTGATTGATTGGTGTTTAACGACACTTTCAGCACTTAAACCAATAGCGTGGCGACCAGTGTTTCATAAGCGGAGGCAGCATGAGTGCCTGGACAGAACCACCGATCTTCGACTCGAAAACTAGCAATCCTAGTCAGTTAAGATCGGAGTCGAACGCACATGTCACATGCAGTGTTCGAATTCACAACCTCAGTGTTGTCAATCAGGCTGTTGATACTTTAGAGGAACTACTAAATCCATTCGGCCACCGAGACCCTTCCTTTTACCGAAAATTGTAGTAAACGCATGGTGAAACAATTGAGTTCACTCTTCAAGGAGTTAAGAGAATCACCGTGATATAGAGTGATTATTGCTGACAGTCTGCTTCAAAACCCTGTAATATAGATATCTAAGGCGTACAGAAAATTTTGTAACCACAAGGATTAGCTCGTGTATATTATAAATATGTTCATCTAGGGACTTCTTCCGTCCGGCAGTAAAACTCTTGTTAAAATAGAATGTACAAATATGCAGACTGGATGAATCTAATATGATGTCCCGTGAGTACCCTCTCTTTGCACGTTAATAACCCTTTGCAACAACACTCCGGTAGCCTGCTGCATGACCAAATGTCTGCCAAATTCAATAGACCAAGCATGTAGGAGTCATTATCCGTTTGATGTTTGATTTTAAATTTGTTCTCGTCCTGAATATGCACGAAATATTTGCCGCCTGAAGTTAAACAAGCAACAATCAATCAATCAATCAGAAAGATATCGGTGTTTGAATTACGCACAATCACCAGCATTCACTGTGGAAAAGTGCTTTAATTGAATTACTAATATCTTGTGTATACTGTATTAGCTTAATGTATCTCAAGAATGGAGCTGGATGTGGTTCAAAGTTTAGTAAAAATGTTACATGTCTAAATAAAAAAAAAATGAAGCTGGAGATCTCTTCAAACGATCGCCGTCAATGGCGGATCCAAAAAGGGGGGGTTGGAACCCCCCTTTTCTTGACGATCAATGCTTTTGAATGGGGAAATATGGTTGGAAACCGCCCCCCCCTCCTTTTAAAAATGGCTGGATCCGAACCTGGCCGCGGAAAAAATAACTAGTTAAATGTAACAATAAGAATACGGAGATGTTTTATCATAACCATCTATCAAAGCCGTTGAGGCAACTACCCACCAAAATCATGTTTACAGTGCGTCACGGTATACGTGTTTTATAGTATGTAACATGTTTGTATGTCATTTTCAGAAATATATTTTTTTCTAATCAAAGGGACATAATATACAAATAAGAAGTGGTATGATTGTCAATGAGACACCTCTCCACAA